TTAACTTCTCGGGCACACCTTTTAGAGAAAGGCAGAGTGGTTGACTGGGTCGAAAGCCGCTTTCAGATCCAGGAAGATAGAGATGGGAATGTCGGTGCTCCAGAGTTTGGCGAAGAGTGAAGATGTGGTCGATACAACCTCGACCGAGTCTAAAACTAGCCTGGTTCTCACGCGTGCGGCAGACAATCGAAGGAGTATGACCTCATCGTGAAGTTTAGAAATATTGATTAAACTAATTCCTCTGTGGTTTTCACAGAAGGATCTGTCACCTTTCTTGTAAGTCGGTATGATGACCGATTCACACCATTCAGCTGGAACCTGTTCCCTCTCCTACACTGAGCCCAGGAGTTTCGTTAACTCCGAAACCAATGCTAAGCCTCCATCCTTAACAAGGGATGGGGAGAGCCCGTCTGGGCCGGAGGCTTTATGCCTTTTGAGATAGTTTATTTCCCAGGAAACCTCCATTTCAGATGGGGGCTTGGCATCGACTGGCAGACTTCGCGCAGTCGTGGTGAAGGGTAATAATTCAGATGTCGATGGGGGCCAGCTAAACTGAGTCTGGAGATGTTTAGCCCATCGATCAAGACGGCATTGCTGATCGTGAATTAGTGTGCCATCGAATTCCTTAATTAGCTCACTTACGCATATTTTTTTAGGGCCCGTATTCCTAATTAGATTGAAAAAGTTACGACTATTGCCAATAGCCGCAGCCTTCTCCATCTCTCGACACTTTCCTGTCCGCCACTTCTCGCGGTCATTCCTCAGGCTCTTGATGAGCTGTCGTTTGGGGGATTTGCGCGCTGTGTCATATGCGGCATCGGGAGGAAGGCTGCGGGCGTCCAGCAAGGTAGCCGAGGTCGATGAGATCCATCGTTTATGTTTTGAGCCTGCGTGAGGTTCTGCCGTTTTTATCGATGTTTGCATAGCTTCCTTGATTTACTTGCAGTGCTCATTGATTCCTTCGGTTGGTAGTTGAACTGACAGGCAATCGGAGAGTTCCGCTTCGGAGGCTGATTTGCAACAATTGCTGACGTTGTATCGTAGGTATCCGTTTTCTGTAGCCTTTTTACGGTTGTTTGCCAGTCGTAAGGAGAACTTCGCTCACAGCAAAGCGTGGTCCGTGTCCACGGTTGTTGACTAGTAAAAGCGGCAGTCTGGAATCGATCCTCTCCAGCGGTGACTGATAGCGATATGGTCGATTTGTGTCCAGTGCTGTGAAGAGGTTGGCGGTTTCCATGTAAGGCGGTGCCCTTTTTGTGTGAGAAGTTCGTGCTTGACAGGAACAGTTCGTGGTCGGCACAGAGCTGAAGTAGGCGATCTCAGTTGTCCGTCCGGTGGGCTGAGATTGCGTGTGGTCCACCAAGAAGCCTTTCTGCTTCGTCCAGGGATCCAACTTGAGCATTGAATTCCCTGGCGATTACCACAATAATCGTTGATCGAACGCTTTGGAGTAATTGAGAAAGGTCTTTGTAGAATTCGTCCTTGATTTCAGGTGTACTGCAATCGATCGGTGCATACACCGAAACGACGAATAGACATCGTGAGTGTTGAATATGGTATGTCTTTAAGTACAAGCTTGGGATTGGATATAAACATGTGCATCAGCTTTTCTTGGAACACCAACTTCTCTTCTTGTGATAACTTGAAGCAGTGGTTTCGAAGCAGACGGTAGGTATACCACTGTGTTATTACAAGGGATTCGTTTATAAGCTCCCCATGATTTATTCCTATGCGAAATCCACTTATTTGTTCGACTTCGAATCACTGATTTTTGGCTAGTTGAGTAGGTGGTGTTTGGTCTTGGTCACGCCCTTCACCATTTCCATGAGCTGATTCGTAAAGTCTTCAGAGCACACTTTTCGTTGGAAAAATTCCATCGGAAGTCTTTCGCCATATTCTTTAGTTTGGTGTTGTCAGCAACTACACAGAAGTTAACCGTACCAATCTGCGGTACGGATGCATAGCAAATGTAGTCAAACGTCAACACAGGGTGATCACTACACCCTAATGGAGTTGCAGCGAAAATCGTTTCCACCATCGATCCCTCGTTAGCTAACACCAAGTCCAAAACCGACAATGCCTGGTTGACTCCTTTACAACATTGTTAAGTGGAATAAGATTCAATAAACTGAGAGAGTTTCCTCTCAAATGAGAACTCACTGATTTAGCCAATTTTGGGCAATTGAAGCCGCCCATAATGAGGACATGCGTGAAGTTCATTGATAGAATGTGATATGTGGTGTGCAATAGTGTCTCATTGGCGGCTGGGTCTGTGGATGAAGAAGTGCGGTACACCACGCTGATCAAGCCGATATTCGTTGGGGCAGTCGCATTTTGCACCACAGTGCGTCAGAAACCGCCGCAGGATAATCAATTACTTCGTATTGTAGTTTGCTCCTAAAGCATATCAACACCAACAACTCTTGTAGGGCGACCGCGGCTGAACAGAGTCATGCCGGGTAGGCGTAATTCGGAGTCCAGAATGTCGGTTGTCAGCCAAGTCTACGTAACTGCAATAATCTCCCATTAACCAGTTTGGCAACGCAGTTTCACCTCTGAAACTTTGCTGAGAAAACCTTGGGAATTGGTGTGGAAACAATGCAGTTAATCGCGGCGCAGAAACTGGCTAAGGTGCAAATGGTTTGTTGAGCCGACCGTATCTATTAAATAGACCGTACTGCTTAGTGATAAACCTCGTTAATGATTTCCTGCTCTGGTAGTGTGTTGTAAATGAACATCAATTCCGAAGCATTTATTTACCTTTATCCTTTTGGTCAACACAAACTCCAGTTTTTGTACACGTAATCTAATGTTCTGGCAAAGTGCATTCATATCTCTTGTTTTTTGTAATCCAAAACTTGCACATTTTTCATCTCTTATTTCAGGAGGCACCTCTGGAAAGTTTCAGTGATTATATCTTCGCTTTGGGTAGCCACGCAGCTTACTGGGAATCAGAAGATACTGCACTGTTCCTTCTTACGGAGGTGTATGCTCCACAATCCGTCACACCACTGCTGCCAGGACAAAAGATGGCTAATCAGTCCCAACAGGCTCAGATTTCTCCTGAAATTTCACCGTCACCTTCCGTCACCACATTGACACCTCCACCAATCATCAACACAATGACAGTCGGTCCGCCTCCACCTCCCGTTGCTGCATCTACATCGCTCGCTGCTCTTAAAGTATCGAGGACACCAGGCGCTAGCTCTCAATCCGAAACGTCTTCTGCTTGTTCTGAACTCTCTTCTCAAATGACTCCAACAGCTCTGGTTCAGCAAGCTGATCATAAATTGGATACCGATTCCAGCGCGCCTAGGCAAACTAGCCTATCTCATACTAGTGCAGTCGTCAAAGACATGCCTTCCGCTTGTTCAGAGTCAATGCCGATATCAGTTTCGAATCCCACATCCAGTATAACGTATGTCTCACACCAGCTAACGACACCAGAATCCGAACCCGTGGCTCCTCCACCTCTAAGCAGTAAGTGTATATTTCTCACCTGTGAGCTGTTTTTATTGCTTGTGAGTTTAACAACAATGGAAAAAGAGGTAGTAACTCAACGTTTTATTATGATAACGAGCGGCTTTGCTTTGCGGTCGTAACTGAAATTACTGATAAGGTGAACGTTTGGTTGGTTCGTTTGCCATCACAGAGATTTATCGATTTGTAAACTTGAGGGTTCGACCTCCAGAATCATACCTCATTGATAGGTTGCGTCACTGTCACCTATTCTTTCGCCTTGCCTCTCTGTTTTCGAGGGATCAAGTTACGCCATCCAATAACTGCACAGCGAATCTGTACTATCATATGACGCTTTTATTCGAATACAGTCCAAAGTAAACAACTTATTCATCCATTTTTAATGTTACCCAATAATCATGTAAAATGCTGAGTGTAGGATGCAGTTATGTACATTTTTACAGAGGCTCTTTCTCTCGTGTAATTTCTCTGTTGCAATGTTGAATCATCCTGGGTCTGATCGTAATATATAAGTTTTTAAATCCTGTAAACGATAAATTTCCGTGGTTTGCTCTTAAGGACGTTTCTTGTCACTTCGCCCGGTACAAAAAAGTAATAGTGATTAACTGACGCAATCTGTTGTTTCAAAAGTTCTCGCTGATCCTCCATTTTTCTATTGCATTGAAACTATTTATTTTGCTGTTTGTAGTGCCAACGAATAACTGGATGACGCTCGGGTAACCGGATTATCAAATACAACTAGTCCACTATACCCCGATGATGAAATTTAGATCAGTTTAAAGTAAAATGGTAGATGTTGCTCATAGCCAATGCGGCAAAATCATCTTAACAATAATATCCATATTGATATGTGAAATTTTCTTTTCGTTCTGTTGAACAACCTTCATAAATATGTTTGTTTCTCATTAGTTCCACTGCCCTTGTTTTCTTATAAATCCTACCGATTCGTCACCGACCAGGAAACTTTCAAAAGACCTCAGCTGTTAGTGTGTCATGTGTCATGTGGTTTCTAAGAAATTTTTTCCATCAGTTCTCTTCAATCAACCACAGATCACATTAGTACTAAAATGAAGGACAAACAAGCGTCGGGTTTTCCCCGAAAGTTTTCTGGGTTGGTCTCTTGCTGTGATCGCTTCGCAGTAGTAGGCCTAGATCGGTTCACTATGTGCCTATTTCACCATGGTAGCCATTCACTTGATTACCTAGTATTGGTCACCAAACTTCACCCAGAAAGTAGAGATACTCCCGAAGGGGATGGGGGGGGGGGACATGTGACAGTGCATTGACTGATCAACCCGTACCCCAGTCGGTATACATGTTACATCCAATGGATGTTTATATGAAGACCCGCTTGGAATCAGCACCCTGTTTTGAGCCCCCTCAACTCATTGTACTCGATCTGCTCGGCTTTTACAGACCGTGTCACGTTAGTCTCCCAGTGCTTACTCGTTTCACTTAAAAACCAGTATGCAGTATTCGATCGGTTCCCAATCAGCACCAGCGTATACTGTCGGAAAAAAGCATTTTGCCCGTACGATGCTTGAGTCAAATCTAGTCAGTCACGTGATCATTTGCCCGAATGTCCCGTTATCCTTCTTATGGTGTGTCTGTTTATTTGCTGCTCCATGCTACACACCTTCGTGACACATTGAACCTCAGAATTCGTCTATGTTGATCCCTGTTGTTGTCATTCATTCGCGACATAGTTTGACCGAGTCCCACCCAGTCGGTCCCTTACCCCCGCTTTGTCCTGCAGTTGAGAGAACTCGTTGTTCTCACTCTCATATAGATCGATTTCCAGATGCAGT